ACTGATGAAATGTAAGCAGCTCTCTGGTTCATACGCTCTGCAAGGAGATGGGCTGCCATCCCAGCATCTTATACAAACCAGCATCCCAGTTCTTATATCTTACCAGTATGAGAACTGGGACAGGACCAATATGAGGACTGGAACAGGTGTTTATCGTTCCTGCAGATGACAGAGGGCGAGCGTCTGAGCCTCCCTGCTGTCTAAATCACATTGTGCATTGCTTTGACCCTGCGAGTATGAAGCTGTGTCTTGATGGTGAAGGGTTTAGGCGTCTTCCCAGTGCTCAGTATTGCTGGAGGTTAGCGGAGAACAGCTTTCTCGGAGGTGGTTTTGTAGCAACTATTGGCAAATATGTTGAATGCTCATTTGCAGTTGCAGTAATTTGAATATGACGTTCAGACTTCTAAGCTGTCTGCTCCAGCTTCAAAAGGAAATGATCGCTCCTTTTAGTTGTAAATAAATTCATGTTTTAGTTGAGGACACTTATGGAAGTGGAGAGCAGAAAGAGCAATTTATTATTAGATCTGTCACTTTAAAATATGTTCCCACTTTGATTCAGCTTTGAAGCATTCTCCTTTGAAGCAGCATTAAAGTATTTGAATATGTACGAGTCCTAGCAGGGAGAGATTACAAGTTGTGACACTCTGTTAACCTTGGGTTTTTTAAATTTTTTTGCTATTTTTTTCCCAAGGAACTACTCTAAGTGGCTTTTTTTATTGCTTGGAATAAAAATGGCCATCCATTTCAAACTGCATTAAAATGTGTGCCTGGTGATTGGAAAAAGCAGCATTTTGTGTGTATATATGAAGTAGAAACTAATTTGTATAATTAATTGCACCCCACTTTCTCATGCAGATCATGAAGTAATTTTAGAGTGATATTTCTCACAAAAGTTTATACGTACCTTGTTCTTTTCAAGTTTGCTCCTAGTTGCAAGGTGTGTTGTAAGCTGCAGAAGCGGTGGTAGCTTTCAGGCTGTTTGTGCTTCATGTCAGCCATTGCCAGAAAAATCTCTGCGGCCAAGCAAAAGTTGCCAGGACTCTTGTACACCTTAACTTTACAGATTTATTCTTATAGGTTAGAAAAGTAACATCATGAGATCGATGTCTCGAGAAGATAAGAGGAGGGAAATGCCGTTGCCTAACGTGCCTTCTGGGGTGAAATACACTTGGAAATTGCAAATCGCTTATGAAATTTGTGAGCTTGATTCTGGGCATTAAAAAAGTCTTATCCCCGCGCACTTGTGTTCCTGCATCGGGGGCTGCTCTGGGTCTGATCTGGGCCTGCTTTCTGACTCCTGCAAGGCTTTGAGCAGGGCCCAGAGGAGAGGCTGGGAGCGAGTACAAAAACGAGCAGCACAGAAGCAGCTCCTTTGAATTGTGGGGCTGCTTGGTTGAAGATAAGAAAATGAATTCAGCAACCTTTGCCTGCAGGATTTCTCATTTCAAATGCCTGTGACTGAGTTTCCCACACGCTGCTCTGCTGAGAGCTGTTGATTCGGTGGTGCCTTTCGGTGATCGGAGCATGCTTCCTTCATGCGTTTAACTCTTGAGGGAGAAAATGAGGCTTTTTTTTTTCCTTTCAGGCACTTCTGTAAAATGGTTTTGAACACATACTAGTCTAATAATTATTTTATTCCAGAAATTAAGGACAAAAAAATTCTGCTGGTGTTACAGCAACCTGGAAAGTAGTAGATAGAATCAGAAATCAAACCCAGAAGAGCCATGCCCAGGAAGTCATGTCAAAGTCATATCATTTCAAAGAGAAGCATCTTTGAAAAATAATGTACTCTATATGTAGTGGCAATCAATGCTCATCTGTTTTCTCCTCCCTGCATTTTATAAAAATTCTTCCACGTTTATACATTAAATCTTTTTTAAAAGACCACAGCAAATATGAACAAAAAAGAAAAAGCAACCTATTGTAGTAAAACAGGTGTTATATTTCCATAATGTGAACATTACACTATAAACAGTTCACAAATGTAAACACTATTAGAAGAGGCTAATGAAATATTAGCACATCTGTTGATGCGTGGGGACTGTAAACTCCAACTGCGTCCTCTGATAATCCACACAAAATTACGTTTCCAAAAATACGCTGTCAGTGCATCCCAGATGAAACTCCTGTGGCTCCGAGAAGGGATGTAATCTGGTTGCTAACAAAGAACAAAAGCAAAAATAAAGTGTTTTTCTGTGCTTTTGCTTCTGGTAAGAAACAGTTACCTTTGATGCTAGTAAGAGTGTTTTCTGAATGGGCAAAACCAACTCAAAGTAGAAGTTTGGCCGTCACCGTTCAATGTGTAATACCCTGATGTTTGTTTTACAGAAGTGAAGATGCAGTCAATCAGATGGCTGTTACTCCTTTCCCATTACCTTCCAGTTCCCACTCTTCTACTGAGGTAAAGTTTGTGTGTTGCTTTTTTTAAACTAAGTATTGGTAAATTAGATAGACTAATCGTAATTCGTAGTTCATTAGAATTTTGAGCACCTTTTCTAACCGAATCATAAAACGCATTGGGTAGGAACTTGACCTAACAGGCGTATTTTCCCCGGTCTTGTTTTTATTGATCCCATTGTTACTGAAAGGGATGGCATGGCATTAACAACAGGTATTAAAACAGGTTATTGCTGCACAGGAGGAAAAACTGCACCACTTCGTCCTGCACCCCAGTATCCACCTCTCACTGCCGCTCGTTTTCTTCCTGGAGGAGCAGGCGAGGGCTGTTCACGCAGTGAGCTCTGGTACACGGTGTTGTCGCATACAACCTTCAGTGCAAAAACTTCTGGTTTTCTTGATTAGAGTTGCTCCCAGAGCCCCAGTGTAGACCAATTGCCCTCCTGTGCACCATGAATCCCTGCAGTGTCACCGCATTTTTATTATTTTGACATCTCGATACGGCATAACTAAATTTTCTAGATAAAGTACATGGTTAGCCTTGCAGTTGCTTTTTAATTCTATTTCTGTTTGAGCTAATAACGCAAAAGACCTTTTATAATTCAGCTGGAGTTGGTTCTTGCCTTGAATTGATGAATTCGCATGCATTGAACTCCTGGTATTTCAGTAAGCATTACTGTGATCCACAGCGCTGGTCCATGCTAGGTAACGCTGGATGAATCTCCTGTTTATGTGCTTGCTATTGCTTTCCAGATTATATTCCGACTGCTGGCTACTTCCATGCAGGCGTGGGGCTGTACAGTGCAAGAGCTGTGCAGTTTTTGCTTGGATCGGAGCTATTTTGGGGCAGTTTTTTGGTTTTTCGTTCTCTCCTCCATCAAAGCAGCGTGCTCCAGGTGCAGCTGGTGAATTGCAAACTACAATTTGCAGAGCCCAAGCTAATTTTAGTTTTGTTGACTCTTTAATACGCCCATTTGTTCCCAGCTTTGATTAATATTTGGGTCTTCAGGATGAACCTCGAAGCTTTATTTCGGTGCATTCTGTGCTGTGGTCAAATGACTGTAGTTAACCCCTACCAGCACGTGAAAACCCAAGCGCTGAGCCTCGCATGCAGAGTTTGCCTTTAGAGGCCAATGCTTTTGGGTTGAGTTTCATACGTTAGTGTCTCTTATTTACATTGTGTTTGTTTCATAAGTGGATGCAGGTTTTTACTTTTAGCTAGTATCTTTTTACAGTATAAAGTAAATATAAAGATACTGTTGGTGTGTATAAATTTACATTGCTTTCCTTTGACAGCTGTTCTTGTCTTTAAAGAAAGCAAAACTTACTGTGCATTAGATCTTGAAATTATATCTTCAAATACCAAATAAATATTTAACACTGTACTTGAAACTTAGTAGATCACACTAAATAGCCTGGCTACTGTAATGGAATATGAGAGTGCCTTAGTTACCATGTACCATTGTGTTAATTTTCTTCATCTTATCTTTATATCTTCATTGAGGTATTTTAATATGGAAAATGATAAACAGTAAATATGCCTTAATAAACCATCTTGCTTCATTGCATGGAGCTGCAGGAAAGGATAAGGATATGTTGTGGTGCAATACTGTGGGTAAGCCACCAGAAGCAAAGTATATTAATTGCTATAAAATATCTGTTTTTTAAAAGCTACAGTCATCAGAAAGCTACAAAATGAGATACTTTGCTGCAATACTGAACAAAGTGAGCCTTTGTGTCAAATTCAAAGGTACTTTACCTCCTCAAGTAGCAGGTCTGTGCACTTAAATGTGAAATAACTAATGAAAATTCAGAAGATCTTGAAATCTGGTTTGTTGTACGTAGTCCATTTTGCTTTGCAAGAGAGGACAGCTCCAAATTTGGATCAAAGGCTTAAGTGTATTAAAACTATTTTTAAATAAAGTAAATCAAAATAATAGATCAACAATCTTTTCAGATCCAGGACATGATTGGTTTAAGAAAGGGAAGGATAATTAACACGTTAAATTTTACATATAACTGAATTAGTGCTGCTCTAACCTTTACATTCTAACTTAACATTTTCCCTGAAAAAAGCCATTTCCTATCTATCTTAACTTTAATTGTTGGTACGGGAAGGAAATAATTTTTTCTTGCAAGCGTATGCTTCTTATATGTATGCTAGTTATTATCTAGAGAAAATACCAGAAAATCCTGATCAGACAAGCTTTTCTACTCAGTATGGTGCTATTTTATCTTTCAAGGGCCATTTTTCTTGGGAATCCACTATGGAAAGAGAAAAGCTTCATGCAGGAGAAGGTTCTGGAGCACATCTTGGTGCAAATGCTTATGTCTTTTGGGCCATTGCCTTCATTTGCTGGTTCTCCAGCAGTTGTCATTGGATCCCCTTTGCAGTATTCTCACAATAATGTGTAGAGGTACCTGAATCCCTTTGCCCACCCACCCCTCCAGGGATCAGATCATGCAGGAAACAAGGCTTCCTTTAACATGCTGGGCATGCATGAGACCAAACAGAAGTTTGGAGAAGGCCTTTTAATACAAACTCAACAGTTTTCACAGTTGGTAGGGGTTATTCTGGCCCTGAAAGGTGACCTTAAGATCTGCACCTCAGGGCTGCTATCGGTCTGCTTCCTGGTACTTCAGATCCGCCAAATGGAGACCAGTGTCTCTCTGTCGAAACTTGTATCACGTATCTGTCTCCTGACATTAAGATTCTTTAATTGTGGATCCTTTTACTTTTTCATGCTGCTACTTGTTTAGAAAAACAAAAGAAAAGGTAAAAATGACTGATTTTTTTCTTTCAGTATTATGGGGGATCATGGCTGTTTTTAAAAGCTGTTGTCAATCATTTCCACCAGGATCATGGTGGCACTGAGCCTGCAAGTGGTGAAGAAGACCCAAGTTTGGAAGTCGTCATGAAAAGCTTGACTGATGAGGAATCCAGCAAAGCTGTAAGTGACTTAAAATCGCAAAATCATTAATGTTGGAAAAGACCTCTAAGATCATCAAGTCCAACCATCAAACTAACACCGCCGTGCCCACTAAACCGTGTCCTGAAAGCAAAATTTAATGATGTTCAAAGCTTAGAAAATACAGACATATTGCCTTTGTGTTGGAATATAACACTTTGCCAAATAACACCCAGTACATGTAAAAGCAGCAGCAAGCTCTTAGCTTTACATGTAGACTGTTTTCATGAACTAAGCAGTCAGTATAATTTGTTAAAATATTGAAATAGGAGTTTTTATATAACATTTTGGCCCCCTCTTGAGTTCTTTCTCAGTGAGGGGATTGAGTTTCCACTCTTGCCATCCATGTGTGACAAACTTCTGAAAAAAAAGCATAGTCTGTAAATCATATTCTTATTTATATTCATAGCTTCATAAATTCTAAGGCCAAAATGTCTATTATCATAATCTAGTCTTGCCTCCTGAATAACATAGCTATAGAGTTACTCTCGGTAATTTCTACATCAAGCCCATAACTTCTGGATTAATGTGGTACCGACAGTGTGCCCTGTAATAAATACTGAAGGTCTCATTGATACAGATGGGCTTTTTTGTTGCTTAACATGTCAGGACTGTGCGTTATCAGGAATCTGAAAGTCCTTCAGGGTGCAGCTCTAATCTCTTTTTTTTGGACTCCTAGTTAAAAGTTTAAAATGGAAAACTACTGAACATGCTGAAGAGCCACTAAACCTAGAGGTACATAAAATGTGCTGAGACAGTCTTTTTGTCCGGCAGCCTGCTCCGTTTTCAAGGAGTGTGTCGACTGAGATTTGCAGTACGTGCAGTCTGTGTGAGCTGTCCTCAGCTAAGGAAACCTGACATTTCTGCATTTATTTATTTTCTTTCGTGTGGTCTTCCCCACTCCATGATGTCTTTTGATAAATGTGTTCTGGGTTTTGCAAATATGAATTGAATGCACATAATGTTCTATAGCTGATAAGTGTTTAATTAATGAGTCTATGAATTTCAGCACTTAGGAAGGGTTATGTGCTATTCAAGCGTCAGAATTAACCACCCATGTAAAATGGATTGATTTGTGTAACTAACGGATTAGAAAAAAGTTGAATTATTAGTATTTGGTAGCCTTGTGCAGAACCCTCCTTTGATGCGCTGGAATATAAATGAATCAGAGTTTTATCATCTGTATTTGCAGGTGTAATTCACCTGGTTTTATTGCTGTTCTTGCTCAACTTGGCAAGAAACTTTTGAGGGATTACAAAGTAATGGGAAAAATTGCTGAGAGACTGAAGTGGATAAAAATATATAACATATTGTACAAAAATGAACTGTTGGAGTAGGATATGGTGCTGTGCGACTTCTTGAAAGGTATTAGAGGAAGGGCGAATTTAATGGCAATCCAGCAGGCCAGCGGTGCTGTCCCCACTGGGGACCAAGGGGTCACTGGTGAGACCAGTGGCAGTGCATGTGTTGCTTCTGGCTCTGCGGTGCCCTGCTTCATTCAACAGATATCTGCTTAGAGATGACTTGCTAATTTTTATCCATTACATAAATGGATACTGAAAAGTTAAACACTAGGAGGTGGATTTAGAAAAGTATTTGAATGCCTTTAGATCCAGCTGCTCATTCTGTAATGCCTTCAGTTGAGCCAACCCTTGGATTGGAGACATAAATGGTTGAAAAAATAGTGGAGAAAGGCAGTTTCATCATTTCAGATGTTTCTTTCAATCAGGATTTTAGAATTACATGGCAAGTATTTCTAAGAAGTGTATCTTATATTTGTAAATGTTGATGGTTGTGGTCCATCCCTTCTGACCAGAAGGAAATGAGTTCATAATCGTATTGACATTCAGACTTTGACACCACAGTGCAGCCCAAGACAGCTTGTTACTTTGAGGAAACGAGATTTCTCTGGAAGTCTTTTAGTGACTGTTGAGGCAAAAGAAAACGGTTTTCATAGCATCATGGTTGCTACTACAGCCCAGTGCTCCTTCACCGTTGTTATTGACGTTCTCAGTCATACGGCACGAGAAATTAGGAATGTAGAAGTCAACAAGGGGTGTATCAGGAGGGGTGGTTGTAGGGCAGAGAGGTTCTCCTCCCCCTCTACTCTGCCCTGGTGAGACCGCATCTGGAATATTGTGTCCAGTTCTGGGCCCCTCAGTTCAAGAAGGACAGGAACTGCTGGAGAGAGTCCAGCGTAGGGCTACAAAGATGATCAAGGGAGTGGAGCATCTCCCTTCTGAGGAGCGGCTGAGGGAGCTGGGTCTCTTTAGTTTGCAGAAGAGGAGACTGAGGGGAGACCTCATTCATGTTTATAAATATTTAAAGGGTGAGTGTCACGAGGATGGAGCCAGGCTCTTCTCGGTGACAAACAATGATAGGACAAGGGGTAACGGACACAAACTGGAACACAGGAGGTTCCACTTCAATTGGAGAAGAAACTTCTTCTCAGTGAGGGTGACAGAGCCCTGGACCAGGCTGCCCAGAGTGGTTGTGGAGTCTCCTTCTCTGCAGACATTCAAAACCCGCCTGGACGCCTTCCTGTGCAACCTCATCTGGGTGTTCCTGCTCCGGCAGGGGGATTGGACTGGATGAGCTTTTGAGGTCCCTTCCAATCCCTAACGGTCTGGGATTCTGTGAAGGAAGGTCAAGTTCACTGAGTAAATAAAAAGTATGTGCTTATCAGCAAAGATCTTCCACAAGTATTTACAGCTCAAAGCACGGACAGGATGTCTCACCAAGTGACAGCTGCAATTAAAGAAGTAAAATTCAAATAATTCTCTTCTCATTTGTTGCTTGATAAATTTGCCAGTCGCTCCCAGGATACTTTTTGTTGTCACTTCATCACTTAAAAAAGAATAAAGCTCTGTAAAGGACATCGCTGCAGACTTGGGTGATAAGAAGGGGGAAAGAAAACAACTTTATTTCTGAGCTGGAGCCAATGGAAGTGTCAGGCAAAGTCTGCATGCTTTTGAGCTGAGGGTTGAGGTGGCCTGATTGGAGGTCGTGGTTTTCTGAGGACTGTTGTTATCTTGCTTTCTGTAAGGTGTTGTTGGAAAAGAATTGAGCTACGGGGCTTGGAGATGTTCTTGAAACTTTTGACTTTACCTTTAAATGGCTTCAGCAGTCGTCGTGCGCGCTCTGAGGCACCTTGCATCATTGGTGTCCTGGCAGGAGGTGTGCGTGATGTGTGTCCTGGAGGTGGGATAATTAAACTGTTGTTTGGTAGGTGAGAACGGATTCATTTTCCTTAAAAGATTGGAACTTGGAGCAATGATCTGTCTTTAACACCAGCAGAAAACCTGTCCTTGAAACACTGACAAAGAGGAGGGGCTTTGTAAAAACGCTTTTGGGTGCATTTGGGGGAATTGAATTAGATTAAAGCAGTCGGGTCAAATTATGGCAAATGCTGAGCGCGCAATTCAGTGCTGGAGGGGCTGGAAAGCTTTTTATTTTGTTCAGGCACCTCCAGCGTCGTCTGAGTTAAATGGAGAAGGTTAGAGAGATTTGAAGGTGATGCTTGGTGCTTACTTGATGTGCAAGATGAAGTTTCAGATTTTAGTCACATACCAGAATGAAAAAGGGAGGTATGAACTATTTTTTTCGTTGCTCATTAAAACAATCTCTCATAAAATGGCAAAGCAGTCTTCCCATTTCTCCCCTGACACCTCTGCTAACACAATGATATCACCACTTTATCTTTTTTTCTTGTTAGCCATTTGAATAATAGTTCCAGTTGTATAGTTTCAGCAAGCTTGAGGAAAAATGTAGAAAAAAAATGTGGAAATAGCCCATGGGACTTGGCATGATTTAACATCATAAAACTTCAGGGAACAAGGCCAGACTTTTCAAGCTTGGTTACCTAAAATTTGATTTACATATTTTCTTTTAACGTATGAATTGTTATCTTAATTAGAAATTCTTTTGAGATGCAGAATATCTCCGTTGCCTTTTGATGTTGGTACTCAGCTTTTCCAAAATCTAGGCTGTTTTTTAGCACGGGGTAACATAACTAACTAATACTCGGATCAAAGTGGCCTAAGTTTTGCCAGGAGCTCACAAGGGGAGGGCACTGTAACTGTCTGGAGGCAGTTGTGTAGTTGTTGCTACAAATGGACTTATGTGAAGAAATATCACTGTGTTTGCCTAGAATCATCATTTTTGATTTAATTTATTTAAGCTAATGAGACATTTCCAATGTACCTCACTTTCTTTTTTGACTTTTAAGGATGTGAAGTGTAAAGCTGACAAAGCGGTGGTGCCAGATCAGCAAGGAGCAGCTCCCAGAAAATGTATGTGTGTCTATGTTAGCCAATAAGGAGGGGTCCTGGGGGTTTGATCTAGGTGAAGATTGAGTGATTTATGGGGGCAAGGGGATAACTGGGGAGATACTGAAATAATTATCTTGGTGGAAACTTAAAACATTACTTTTTTCTCTTTAATTACGTGGAAATAGTCACAGGCTAATGTCAAGGATGTTCTTTGCTGTTTATAAGTGTTTTATTGACTTAGTGGACTTAGGAAGGTACAGTAATCAACAGCTAATGACGATGTCCACATAACATGCCATTCTGTGTCTGCTAACTTCTGCTTTGCTTTTAGGTCCTCAACCAGATCAAGCAATCCAAATCTTCAGCAAAAGCACCAGTCACCTCACAGGAGATACCCCTGGTGCCACCACCTACTTACCTTTCTCCAGAGGCAGAAGTCACCAGCCGCAGTATGAGCCAGTTGTTTTCTCCCCCAATATAGCGTGTGTTTAGTGCCCTAACCCTGGATGGATTTTTATTTTTTTTTCCATGTAACTTCTGCTGAGGTTTTTTTCTTTGAACATCCAATGACCTATTTTAGGTTATTTCATAAATTGTTTCTGGTTTTCTCTCATATTACAATTTTTGAGAGCTTAAAGGTGTCTTTGCTTGTTTTTCTTGACTTTTATGTACAAAGGCGTTGTTCCTCTCTTTAATTAAAATAGAGGGAAGACAATCGTGTCTATTCCGTGATGCTGACACTTGGCCTTATCTGTCCTGACAGGAATAGCCTTGCCATTGTGATCTGAATTACATAGATTATAACTGAATGAGATGTCCTTCCAGACATTTACTCTGATCATTTACTCCCATAACTCTAGAGTAATTCTGATTTAGAGACTTCTGAAGGGACTCCGAGTCGCCTTCTGGTTCGATTTAGATTGGTAAAGATGAAGGGCGAAATGCGAGAGCTTAATTAGTTACTCTCGTACAATATCTTTGATGGTTTTAATTTTCTCATTGAATATTGTGACTTATTTCTTTACCTTTTCACGTTCTTAGATGTCTTTCCACCTCCATTGCCTGTGGATCCAGCAACATGTCCTATAGTTCCAGGGCAGGAGATGACTATAGAGATATCTAAGGGACGCTCAGGCCTAGGACTCAGCATCGTCGGAGGGAAGGACACTCCACTGGTGAGCTTGTTAAATTCCTATTTACTGTCTCAGTTAAAGAATAGAAGACAAAGACAATGTAGAAACTAATGATGCCGTTAATCTGTAATTGCTCTAATGAATTGTTCAGTACAGGGAAGAGAAACCAGCAAACGCAATCTCCAATAACAAATTGATAATTTTGTCACGTATTGGGTCAGTTTTCTGTTCCTGTCTAAATTGAGAGGTTTGTGTTTCAGTAGTGGTTTCTGCTGTGGTCAGAGTGTACCAGTATGTATTCTTTTGTAACCATTGTGAATTAAGGGTTTCAAGCAGGTAAGTTACCAGAATAGTTGGACTAGAAGTGAATGTCATGGAGGTGGAGCTACGTCAGCAGGGTTAACACTGCCATAAATGCTTAGTAGCTGTTTGAACAGCGATGTATCTCCCTGCCAGCAAAAGCCCTTGATGAACGGAGGTAAACCAAAGGTAATCTTCTGTTGGTTTCTGTGTCTTTTGCTTAATCCTGCTCTTGGCTATGCTGCTTTAAAAAAAATCATCTTCATCTAAATTAAAATGTATCAGTTCAAGTGTAAACTGACGAGTTAGTTATGCTGAACCTTCCTCTGCCTCTGCTGTTGCTGTTTCCACTCCACTTTCATTTAAGAGGTGCTGTGTTACTGTGTAATAGAATGTCAGATTGGTTTTTTTAAATGTCAAATTCAGTTCTTTCAGTAAACAAGTCTGCTGCAGAGGTGTCTTTGCTGGGTTCTCCTGAATCCCCTGCCGCACAAACACTTAAGGCTCTGTCACATGCAGTCGTTCCCGAAAATGTCATGGTGGTGCATCATTAAGCAATGGAGAGTGTCAGCAGCTGCGGAGAGTTGCAGTGCAGTAATCCTTTTCCAGACCAAGAACAAGAAAAAGAGAGGGGAAAAATCCTGAGGAAGTTGAAAGGAAAAAGAAAGTTGTGTTTTGCAGAATGTGGGCTTTATCTGTTACAGTATTAAAGCTGAAATTGGAAAAGATTCAGCTTTTGCTCCCATTTATCCAAGTCTCTGCTTATGTAGACTTTGAGTTGCTCTGTTGCACATGGAGGTAGCTGTGAGTTATGTTGAAGGCTTAAATCAGCATAAATGGTTTTCACTCTGTCCAGCCATGTGCTGCTTTCTACCCAGTCCCTTTTTTGTCGAGCTCCTCAGTGCTGAGTAAGTTCAAATAAGTAGTTCAGCGTTAGTCGTCTCTCTGCTTTTTCATTTAACTGGAATTTGGAAATAATACATGGCAGTCTGTCAGGCGCAATCTGGTGCGCGTCTTTCATGAGATTTTAATATAAATATATGAAAATTACAAATATCTGCTTTACAGAGCAGATGAGAAAAATGCAAAGGATTTTATTCTTTAATTTGAGTCGATGGTTTTGGTTAAGCATTATACATTCATTAGTTTATTCATTAAACTGTCCTCCTAAGAATTTATTTAAAAAAATCTGAGCACTTGGTTGCAGTAACTGAAATTCATGAAGGGAGGGAGGTCGGACTTCCCCCACTTCTGATCCCTGCGTTACAGGGCCGACAAAAATGATTTCCTGTTTCTGAATCTGCTCATTCAAAGGCAAGTGATGTTGTTTGATAGGAAACAAGCTGCTTTTGTGAGACCACAATCTAATCTGATCGCTTACCAAGTGCAGAGACCCTCTCTGGGATTCTCTATAACTTCCTTATCCAAAACGCTGCGTGCAAACCCTCCTCCCCAAAGCAGGTACTGGGGCTTGCGTCTGTAGCTGGTGAGATCATGATTGCTCTACTTTGAACTACTTGTCTCCCCAGAATTATTTTGATGCCTTTCTTTTTTTGCCATGAAGTCAGGCAAGCTCTTGTTACAGGGTTGAAATGAAGTTCACATAATGTAATGAGGAGAAGTAAAAGAAAATTATTACTCAGGACTGTAGGGAAGTTTCTGTCTTTGAGTTTCCTGGATTAGAGAGGAAATACAATAAAATAGGTACATGGAGCTGAGTGGTATATCTTGTATTGCTCTCTCTCGTTTGTTTTTAACTCAGTTATGTAGATGGACATCTTTTCTATTCTGAAAAAGTAAAAGCAAATTGACTTACAGCTTCACTGTTTGTGTATGTGTTATGCTTATGAGCCACAGAATCTCATCAGTTCTGAAGGTCTCCTTGTGTGACAGAAATTGTGTACCCAAGAGCCACTGAAACGAAGCTATATATGGCTTCAGCAGTTTGGGTTTGGGTTTTAGCAGTTCTTGAAATGGGAATTGTCGTATCAAAGTCAGAAAGAATGGGAATAGCACCATTTGTAGCCCATCTCTGCAGGCATGAAGCAGGGACGCTGTCTTTTTATCCTCTGAGTAAACAAGACATGAACACTCATTTCTTCCTCCTTTTCCTGCTGGGCTATCTTTATTTTGTACCTGCACAGATGTGCACATGCCTATGAAACAATGAAGGATACAAACCCCTACGATCTCAGAAGCAATTTATCAGTACAGGGCATACAGAGAGGCTGCTCCTCAGTAGAACTTGTCAAATCTGAGGTGGTTATGGCAAGAGTATAAGGCCTTCACCTATGTAGTATGAAATGCACTTGATCTCAAAATGCTTAACTGAATGCTGGTGGACAACACTGACGCACAACAGCAGCTCGCATGTGATGGAAAGCTCACTTCAGAGTATTCTGGGTCTATCTTAAACACATGATGTACAGTCTGAGCTTTTGGAATAATAAGTCTGAAAGCCCACTAAAGGACGCAGTGCTTCAAAATGAAGTACAGAGTGCAACTTTTAAGTCATAACCTTAGGAATCTCATCAGAAATCACCAAGTAGAGACCTGAAAAATATAGCCTGCGAGCAGAGAGGTTAATTTGTTGAGGAGGTTGGAAAGTGATGTCTCAAACCCTGTGAAATGTTTTTTTGTTGAGAAGATGGCCATCCCATTAAGCTTTCACATTGCATGTGTTATAAGCAAGGGCTGTGGCTGTGTGCACAGGGGAGCAGGAGAGCATCAGTTTGTAAGGCATGGGGAAGGAAGGCTTGTCCTTGAGAGCTGTCTTCACGTTGTTGATCTTTAGACCGCTATAGCCCTTAAGCAGTCCTATTTCACTTTATTCTAAGGGTTGAGTATTATTTGTATCTTTTTCTTCACTGTCTTTCATTTCACCTTCCCAAGTGCCTCTGAGAGAACACAACACATGGCCTCTGCTTTAAAGCAATTAAACTGCAGAGTGGAGCTGGCTGAGGTACAAGGCTTTCAATTTGTGAGAAGGCTTTGTTTTTTTGGTTGTAGTCCAATCAAACTTGTAAAAGTAACCTCAGAGTGGGAATTTAAAAAAAAAATATTTTAAAAAAGTGTTTTCAGAAACTTCCCAAAACAGGGTTTGAGGCTCTAACTCTGCTGCCCAAGACACCATCCTGCCCTCTCATGCCCTGGTTGCTGAATGGTACGTGCGTGCTTGTCAACTCCAGCACCGCTGGTAGCAGCCATAAACCTGACAGGGCTGTCATTGTCACTCGGCAGCTGCTGGTGCTCCCAGGGTGCCTGGACCACTCCAGCCGCAAGTCGCCCAGGATTTCTGAACGCTCCAGACCTGTTTGGGCAACGCCTGCGGCTCTGAGAGCTGCAAACCCAGCACGATGGGCAACGACACTCATGCTTGGGCTTCCAGCTCAGCCTGGACAAGCTGGAAGTCCTGGTGAGATGTGGATGAGTTTCGGCTTTCAAACCTGGGCATTCACGGCGAGCCAGTGTTGGTGTGGCTGGGTGACAAAGGCTACATGGGCTGGGACCCTGCAGGTCTGGGACAAATATACAGAATAAAAGAGGACTGGCAGCACCAGGTAGTCCAGTTCACCATAAATTGAGGAAATTCATGTTCATCGTAAGTTCAAAATGAATTTATGTTGACTGTAAATTTAGGAAACGTTCCTCAGTTATTCTGCTTTTGATTTGCTCCGTTCTGCATAAATTTTTTCAAGACAAGTGATTTAGTTTCAAGTAATGGGCTTTTTCCTCTACAACTCTTTTGCCAGGAAGTTTCTATGGGTTTTTTTTTTCTTAAATGGTCTGAGAACAGGGCATCTAGGAAATGTTTAAAAAAAAAGTGTCCTGGTAGTCCTCCAGATGGCATGTGGGGATTAAATCATCCAAACCCCATTATCACCCCATAGTGGGTGAATACTGGGATGTCTTGTCCAGTCAGCAACTTGCAATGAGCCATTTTCTATAAAACAGCATTGTCAATTTACAGGGATTTTATTCTTGGCAGTACATGGCAAAAGCATCCCTCTAAGATACAAACATTTTCCTGGTAGGTGGGAGCGCTCTTTTGCTTCCAGCTGAATAATTTAGTAATGGTCGAGTTGATTACTCATAGTTATTGACTCTGTATTTGCTGCCTGGGTGATGAAGATGCTCGCCCGTGCCGGAGGGGATTCAGCAGTTTCAAGGCCTGGTACAGGGACGTCGCCTCCAGGCATAGTTGGAAAACCCTGCAAGGGGAGTGCAGAGGCTCAGCTGGGACTTGAAATCCCGATTAAGTACTGAAGAGGCATCTAGAAAAGAAAATAATATTGCAGGAGTGGTACTTTGGGGGCTCTTTGGAGGTGGAGTAGCTTGGAGGCGGTCACTAGCTGAGCTTTGCATAGAAAGGAGGAAAAGCAGTATACTTCAACCTTTTATTGAAAGCAACAATGAACTTCTTATGCAGAGTTTCATATCCCGAGTTGTCTACTTTGAATTTAGTAATTTTTTTAAAACTTTTGCTTTCAGCTGACTTTAATAAGAAGCATTTTTAGGGCAATTAACAAACTCTAAGGTACTCCATCTGTAAAAATAAGTGATCCACAAAGCCAGGGAACTGTAGCTTCTTAGCAATGCTCCAAAAAGTAACAGAATATGCGTGTGTTCAGCTAACACTAGTGGTTGTGAGAGCTTTTTCTGAGAAGAAAAAGCTTTTTTCATCACCTCGGTTTAGCCCTTGCGCCTTTCTGGCTTGTGATGGAGCAGGGAAGCTCTGTGAT